TAGGTTGCTCAGGTTTTGTTTTGAAATGACCAATCAAAATGTAACACGTCAACTGAAAAAAACGCTACCTCAATAAAAGCAATTTCTGTCCCTCAGCTAATCTCTTTCATATCTTACTATAACTTTGAATAATGAATTTCACTAACGTCTTTTTCCTTACTATCTTAGTTTGTTTGTTAAAAGATTTATGCTGCATTAGATTGTGCTGTTTTTGAAAGCAGAAGAAACAGGGTTTCTTCCGGGTTTACAGATGAGCAAGATGCATATGAATTAGACACTGTCTAGCGAAGGTCCCACCTATGCAATCTGGGTGACTTGGTACAAGTCTGTAAGAGCTGACATATATATAACAATCCAGGAGCTGAAATACGAACATCAAATAAATGTGCAGAACAAAAACCCCCAATAAACTCAAGGACATAACCTGGATTGCTGCATAATGCTGTTCGTCTGAGAGCTTGCCACTGAAATGCTACAGAAATCAGCTTACCAACTCAGTGGCAAATTCAGTAGCATTCTTTATCTTCTCCAAGCCATCCAAACCAACAATATAGCAAATGCTGCAATGTTCTTTGAGGAACAGTATTTTTGGCACTCAGTGTCTGAGGTTTATTTTTCACTGTCAGCCTCATACTGGCATGGAAGCATGTGAATTAAGAAGCATCTTTGAACCCCTGATAGTATTGCTTATCCACACAAGAGTATTTTCCCCCTTTTCTTAAGTCTGGTCTCTCTAACCCACCAAAAATACTATCTGTTAGGTTCACAGGTCAATAACCAAGGAAAGCTTGGGACCAATGACTGTGCAAATACTGAACAAGAGTAGGCCCCTTAAAAGTCATCCATACAGTTTAAGAACTCTTTCCTTCTTCAAGAAATGTGAATGATTTACTACATTCTAAGTGTAGAAAATGTAAATATCTTTCTCCCTCAGTTCACTTGCTAAGAAGGAAAAGCATGCAAAAAACCTTTGCTTCACAAGATTACAGGAACCTTTAACCCACTGACAAGATACTAATTAACTTCTCTTGCATACGTTATCCCATGGGGTTTTTTCAGTCAGACTTGGCTGATCCCATATTTAGCACTGCATTACATAGCCTCCTACGAAAGCATCTAAAGAATAAAATGATTTGCTACATTAGAGTTAACAGCAGTTGAATTGCTGACTAATTACTTCAAATGAAAAAATTACAGCACTCTCAGCAAAAAGGAGGAGTAAACAGATTTAACTTGTATGAAATTGTTACAAAGCACACTATGAAATATCTAGGTAGCTCACTAGAAGCTTCAAAATCCAAACAAAGAGATCCTGAAAAACCCTGCAGAGTCAAACACTCTTAGAAAAAGCATTATAGACTGCCTATAGTTTTAAAAGTAAAATCTTGGTCCTTACAAAGCCCCTTCCATCTAAATATTTTGAGGAACGTTATAAAAATGATGTAAACCCTGAATGTTTGTAAATTCATATTGTATATGCATTTTACAGATGGGGAAATTGAGGCACACAAGTGAAATGACTTAACATTCAGCAAGTCAATCACAGCAAAAGAATTCAGGAATGTTACTACTCCATTTCTGCTCTAACCACCAGATAATGTTATCTGTAATTGGATCTGACTACATAACTCTAGTAACTGGAATACACAGAATTTTTAAACAGTAGTATTTGCTACCATGCACCATATGTATAGCTTTAATAGCCATACAATATTCTCAAATAAGAATGTATTGTTATTTTAATAAAGCATCAATAGTTTTGAGAGAGGCCAATGATTATTTTCATGACATTTCTTAGAAATTGTTAGGTAGGAAAGCAAATGGGCATAATATGAATACAGTTATTGCACTTACAATAAACAAACTCTGAATACTGTTTTTGCCTAAATATTACTCAATGAAATTGGTGCCCATTTTGAAAAGTTGACTGAATGAAATCCTAACAAAGGCAAAACTCCCACAGACATTAACAGTGCCTTAGCAACCAACTTTAAAACATTCACTTTTGAATAAATGGGCAGAAAAGCTGATTCTCTTATACCTACAACTGCCAAAACCTGGACAGGGTGGAACAGACATATTTCCAGAGGCAGTTGGTTCATTTTGCCATGTTGTCTGCAATCTTTAGCAACAGTGCAATTTTTTTTCTTCTGACACTGACTGCTAATTACAAAGATGCCAGTTTTATTCGTGATGACCTGTAACTTGCCACACAGAACAATTACACATTTATACAAAGAACAACTGTATGATCAGTTCATTTCCATGTCTAGCTACTCTGATTCCTATAAACACACACTGCGTTCTCTTTTGTTTTTTATATACACTCCTCTAATGAGAGTAAGGTGGTTATTTTTGATGGCAAAACCAGCATTACATTACCAAATCTTTTTTCATGATTTGATGTTGAGTTATATATTTCTTCATTCAAGGGACCGACATAGAAATAATAATTACAGATAGAAAACAGAGCAGCATTGTACTTACTTATTAAAAAGATTCAGTCCAATCCTATAATGGCGTTTCCTGATAACATCGTTACTGAAGGCAGGTGAATCCCAACTGTTTCGAGTTTCCTTGTGGTAGGTCTGTTTGCTCAAGGTCTGTTCCCTTAGGCTGTCTCTAGAAGAAGACTCTGAGCTGCAATTTATTGTATCATTGGAATTGGAAGTGCTATTGATGCTGTCATTGTCTCCATCAGAATAATCAGACTCCGATTTGCTCTGCCTGTTTGCTGTGCCATTGATAGCTAAATGACTATCAATAGGCCTTGGCCTGTGTCTAGCCTCCTGTTCTTCTCGAGTTATAATCTTGGTAGCAATAACATGTGGGATATGTTTTGGGCTTCCTTGTTGACTAGAGACTCCTCGGTCATATGCATTTTGCCTCTTTAATGAGCCTCTCTCTGACCGATCACTTAAGTCCACTGAGCTGTCACTAGGTGGTTCTATAGTTAGCAATGGAAGATGATCCATTCGTATCCTTTGCTCCTGGCATTCCAATGAAGGGGTGCTTCTGCAGCTTGTATCAGTGTCTATCTTATCATCCTTGTGGGTCATGGACCAGTACTCCTGAGAAGAATTCACAGACCGAAGCCTCAAGTCAGATTCTGTGCTAGACGGTCTGTCCACCGACTGGGAAAGAGGTAGGGGTGGAGAGAGCTCTTCCTCATCAATATATAATGTGACATCACTATATGATGCAGTCATCTCGTCAAGTTTCCTATGATCCACATTATGGATTGCTGGCTTAGCTTGAGTACAACTCTCTCTCTCTATTTCACGACTTCTGACTTGATCAGGTGTCTGGACTTCATCAGAATGTAGGCTTCGGCAGTTTAGTGCATCATCAATCGATTCTGCAAGAGATTTGACCTGTCTTGAAAAAGCATCCTCCAGTTCTGTTATAGCATCAGCAAAGTCAGTGGATGCTGCTGGAGATTTCATTGTAGCTGATTCCCCAAGGTCACCACATTCAGATTGGACAAGGGCTCCTAATTTTGACCCATCATTTGTAACAGAAACTTGCTTCCCTTCAAAGTAGGAGCTATGGACTTTCTCAGGTCCTTCAAAGGAAAACTGCATTCTCATATTGGACAGTACAATGCGCCTTGACATACGATTTTCAGACATAGAACTTCTAAGTCGCTCAAAGTTTTTATTCATTTGATACTGGCGAAAAGCTGTTTGTATAGTACGAGCAGCATGTCTAGTTATGAGACGGCCCCCATATTTCCGTTCTAGCATTTCCACCTACAAGGGAAAGAAATATAAATACTTCATCAAGCACAGACTCTAAAATTATTAGGTGCCACTTATGCCTAGACACCACAGTGATAAACATCTTAAAAATATCAATAAAATTATTTATTTTCAGCATATTACATCTAAACTTATGAAAACAATAAAATATTTAATAAATAAAAAACAGTTCAAAAGGCTTCACTATCTATACAGAACTGCATAGCTAAGGATTTGAAATTTCCTTTAAAAAACCTCTAACATATATATATATATGTCATATAGAAATAATTAGCTGACAAAAAGTTTTAAATTTTCCATCTGAATTTTGATAAATTTGCATTTGTCTCTAAAAAATAAAATTTCCCTGTCTCTCTCTCTTTTAGAGATGGTTGTTGCAAAGATGCAATTCTTTATAAACTTAATGCAATGATTCTGATTGTGCACTACTACAAGAATCTTTCCACTTTAAGGAAAATCAAGGCTGCAAAGTTTTACCAGTTATACTGTCTGGCCTTGCAAAGATCTGAACATCCAAACCCATGTAATTTGAGAGAGATAGCTCTTATCTTATCTTGCATTATCTACCTACAAGACTGATTTACTTCAATCATAAAGACTGTTCAGCATTCATAAACATAATTTTAAACTTATTACACCCTTTATTTTTACTGTTGCAGAGGCACACAAGACAACCACTTGCCAGTGTTTCCAATTATAAATGTAACAGATGTAATCAATTTAACTTAGTGACAAATAACATACCATGCTTTTGGAGTCCTATTCCTAGCCTTTTTCAGACTTATTCCTCATAAAACTTTCAAAGAAAATTGACTAATTTTTAAAACAAAATGTCAATTATTATTAATGTTTTAGACTATGAAATGATCATTCCAGGGAAGTGAAATATACAGTATTAGTATGCCTATTTAAATTACAGTAGGCAAAGCACTGGAAACCATATACTATAGGGAACAATCTTGCATGAGCTAATTACAGACATTTGGGGAAGTTAAATCAGGTTCAAAATGGCTACCCGATTTAAACTTAGCCCATCCCGGTGTCAACCTTATATTTACAGACCCAGTCTCAGTGATTGGTAATCAGTCTAAACCTGTAACTGTACAGAAGTTCCACGTACACAAACCAGTCTAAAAATTGCAGAACCCAGTTTAAGATAAACCTGAATCTATGCAGTATGAAACTTATTTGATTTTGGTCAAACTGGTACATGGAACTTCTGTAGACTTTCCCTATGCAACGCTGGGGCTGTGCTCAGTCACTGGCCCAAGCCCTGGGGCTGTCCTTTTTACACCCTCCCCGCACTGGGCTATTTTATGCTGCCCCCCAGCCCCTTGCTGCCATACTCCTCCCAATCAGCTAGCCCTCTCAACTCCCATCCCACAACCCGCTTGGGGTGTAGCCACTTTTATCAGTGTTCACCACTGCCGGAGCCAAGCAAATCCTGGTGGGGGGAGGGACAGGAGGGATGGGGGTGTAAGTTCCTTTGAAGCATTCCAAAAAATGAGGGTAGAGATGCAGACAGCCCAAGAAGCACTTTAAGAATTGCCTAAGTGCATAAAAATTACCATAAAAAGTGATGGACATCTTTGAAGCACTTCCTGTTGAACAACCTCCTGAAAGGTCTTTGTGCTCAAGCAATCCTTCAGCATTCCACAGTGCCCTGCTCCCCACCCCATGCGAGAAGGGGAGGCAGATGGACAATCAATGAATGCTCTCCTGTTCGCTTGGTTGTCTTTGGGAACCCTCTGATAACAG